CGACATCTCCCTTCACCCACTTTTCTGTTGTCCATACCCCAGGGAGGAGGTCACATGTAGATCCTTGTAATTGGTTCCCCCTTTCTAACCCACCCTCCCTCCATCCTCCCGGTATCACCACCCTCACCACTGGTCCTGAAGGGATCATCCACCCTGGATTCCCTGTGTTTCCAGTTCCTATCTGTACCAGTGTACAACCTCTGATCTAGCCAAATTTGTAAGGTAGAATTGGGATCATGATAGTGGAGGAGGAGGAGGGAGGAAGCATTTAGTAACTAGAGGAAAGTTGTATGTTTCATTGTTGCTACACTGCACCTCGACTGGCTCATCTCCTCCTGCGACCCTTCTCTAAGGGAATGTCCAATTGCCTACTGATGGGCTTTGAGTCTCTACCCCGCACTCCACAATGATGATTTTTTGTACTGATGATGCCTGATACCTGATCCCTTTGACACCTCATGATTACACAGGCTGGTATTCTTCCTCCATGTGGGCTTTGTTGCTTCTGAGCTAGATGGCTGCTTGTTTACCTTCAAGCCTTTAAGACCCCAGACGCTTTATCTTTTGATAGCTGGGCACCATCAGCTTTCTTCACCACATTTGTGGCACCCACTTTGTCTTCAGCGATCATGTCGGAAGGTAAGCATCATGGAATGCCAGTTTAATAGAACAAAGTATTCTTGCATTGAGGGAGTACCTGAGTGGAGCCCCAACCTATACATATATGCACATAGATCTATTTCCACATCCTCATATATATATTTACATATGTACATGCCTTTATTTAGACCTCTATATATGCCCCTTTCCTCCTAGCTCTTTCCTTTATTTTTTTACCTTCATTTTGTTCCACTATCATGTTCAGCCTTCATTTGGGTTTCAGTAATTCCTCTCTGTTACATTACCTTTGGTTGTGCCCTACCAGGCCTCCTACACCCTCCTCACCACCAATTTGGATCACTTGTTGTTCCCTTGTCCCTGTGTTTGTTAACACCACCTACTTTCCCCCAACCTCCCCGTCTTCCATGTCCCCCGGAACTGTCAGTCCTGTTGTTTTCTCCTCCAGATTGTTCATCCAGCCTATCTTATTTAGACAGACCTGTGGAGATAATAACATGCACAAAAACAAGACACAGCAAAATAAAGCAACAAAAGAAAACAAAACAACAAGCCAATGACAAAAAACAAAACACAACAAGAAGAAAGAAAAGCTTGTAGTTAGTTCAAGGACTGTTTGTTGGCCTTTAGGAGTGTTTTGGGGTGCCAAGTGTGTTGGGCCTTTAGGAGTCTGATGGGTGCCAAGCCCTGGCCCCAAAGTCTATTTTTTGTATTCCCTGGGGAGTTTGTTGCTCTGTTCCCCTTGTTGTTCTGTTGCACACCCTTAGCGATTTGACTCAGTGTAGTGGGATCAGATCGGGCGCAATTCTCACACTGTGTCTTCAATGTTGTCTCCTGTAGGGCTATGGGTCAGTGAGGGATGTCCTGTCTCATAGTGGGGCCGGCCATATGGTCTTCTCTGTGGATTGGCTGCTCTGAGCAGGAATATCATCCTCAAGGCTTGGTGGGCCAGGAGTGCTCCACTCTTCCTCCACCTTCATTTGCTCCAGTGTACTCTGATCAGACATGTACCTCTCGCTGAGCAGCAGATTCAGTGCTGTCCTCTGAAATAAATTCTTCTGCAGGGAGAATATTTTAAAAAAATGATTTTTATTATAAATTAAGGTGAGGGGCTTACATTTCAGACCATCAACTCTGCATTAAATGGTTCAAACCACTCATTAACTTCCCCCACCCCATATTCTATCTCATCCCCTCTTTGATTTCTCTTCACCCTCTATAGATTTCTACTCTTTCTTTCACCAAAATCAATGCCTGGCCACCTTGTAGTCTGTTTTCATTTTCCCACTTCCCATTCTTGCCATTCCTCCTTGAGAACATCCAAAATCTGTCGTTCCCTTCTTGTTTTTAATCCATATAGTGATGGTGTTATACAATCTTTGTTCTTTTCTGATTGATTCACTTCAGGATGATATAATGCAGTATGCTTTGGCCTGCCAACCACAAGGTTAGCAGTTTAGAACCACAGCTGCTTTGAGGGAGAAAGATGTTACAGTCCTGGAAGCTCACAGGGGCAGCTCTACCCTGTCCTACAGGTTCACTATGAGTCAGAATTGACTTGATGGCAGTGAGTTTTTAAAAGAATTTCATTCAGAATTATATTCTCTAGGTCCATCTATGTCATGAGGTGCTTCATGGTTTTATAATTTTTTAGCATATTATTCCACTGTGTATATGTACCACCGTTTCTTTAGCTGTTCTACTGATTGACCCTGGAGCTGTTTCCAGTTTCTTGTTAATGTGAACAGTGCTGTGATGAACACAGGGTACATATGTTTGTTCATGTTATGGCTTTTAGTTCCTTAGGGTATATACCCAGCAGAGGTATGGCTGGCTCATGTGGCATTTCTATTCCCAGTTGCTTGAGATAGTTCCGTATCTCTTTCCATAATAGTTGTACATATCAAGGTTGTATTTTGGCTCTCATGGAATTATTTGAATTTTCTTCAGTTTAACTTGAGTTGCAGAAGAGTAATTGATGGTCTGTTCTGCAGTCGGCTCTGACCTCACTCTGGCTGATAATGTTGTTTCCCACAGATATAGTCAATTTCATTCCAGTTTATTCTGTCTGGCCAGGTGAGTGTCACCAGGTCAGCATAGTCACCATTAATGTTGTTGAAAAAAGTATTTTCTTTTTTCTTGGGGGGGTGGTAGTAATGACTCATTTATTTATTTATTTTAAATCATCTTATTGGGGGCTTGTACAATTCTTATCATAATCCATACATACATCCATTGTGTCAAGCACATTTGTCCATTTGTTGTCATCATTCTCAAAACATTCACTTTCTACTTGAGCCCTTATTATCAGCTCATTTTCTCCCCTCCCTCCCTATAGCCCCCTCCCTCATGAACCCTTCCTAATTCATAAATTATTATTATTTTGTCATATGAAAAAAAAGCATTTTCAAAGAATAAATTGTTAGTATTTGAAAATTCTATCATGATATATCCGGCACCATTTCTATCACCAAGACCACTGATCCTTTCTCTCTGTTTCCAACTTTTGCTTTTTAATCATCAGTAATTATAAATACTTCTTGATTGCATGCGTGATCAATTTTAAACTGAAGAACTGGGTAGAAATTTTCAATTTCTTTATCACTGGCTTTAGTGGTTGGTTTTCTTTTTATATTATTATTTAAAAAATAATTTTATTGAGGGCTCTTACAGCTCTTATCACAAATCATACATAAATCCATTGTATCAAGTACATTTGTACATATATTGCCATCATTTTAAAAACATTTTCTTTCTACTAGAGCCCTTAGTATTAGCTTATTCCCCACAACCATTCCCTCCTCCTCCCTTAATGAAGTCTTGATAATTTATATAAAATTTTTTTTCATGTCTTACACCTACTTGTCTGTTGACTGTCCCCCTGGGAGAGGGTTATATGTAGATCATTGTGATCAGTTCGCCCTTTCTCCCCGCACCTTCCTCTTCCCCTTCTGATATCACTACTCTCATTATTGGCCCTGAGGGGTTTATCTGTCCCGGATTCTTTGCATCTCAAGTTCCTATCTGTACCAGCGTACATACTCTGGTCTAGCCAGATTTGTAAGGTACGATTGGGGTCATGATAGTTGGGGAGAGGAAGCATTAAAAAACTAGAAGAAAGTTGTATGTTTCATCAGTGCTATACCGCACCCTGACTGGTTTGTCTCTTCCTTGTTACCCTTCTAACAAGGATGTCTAATTGTCTACAGATGGCCATTGAATCTCCACCCTGCCCTCCCCCTCATTCACACTGATAAGATTTTTTGTTTTGGGTTTTTGATGCCTGATACCTGATCCTGTTGACACCTTATGATCACACAGGCTGGTGTGCTTCTTCCATGTGGACTTTGTTGCTTCTGAGCTAGATGACCACTTGTTTATCTTCAAGCCTTTAAGACCCCAGATGCTCTATCTTTTGAAAGCTGGGCACCATGAGCTTTCTTCGCCACATTTGCTTATGCACCCAGTGATCGTTAGCATCACAGAATACTGGGTTATTAGAACAAAGTGTTCTTGTGGTGAGGAAGACTTCAGTAGAGTCCCAATGTCCATCTGCTAGCTTAATACTTAACATATAAACATACATATATTTCCCTATTGTTATATATAAATATATTTGCATGTTTATACCTGTATTCTGACCTCTATAAATGTCCTTTGCCTCCTAGTTCTTTCCTTTATGTCCTTTTACTTTCCTCTTGTCCCACTACCATGTTCAGCCTTCACTAGGGTTTCAAAATTTCCTCTTGGTACCATGCTAGCAGCCCAATGAGCAACCACTATGTCACCAGGGATACTTAGGAATAGGAAAAGTAACAGACAAAAGGCATATATGGCCTCAGCAAAAGATGTAGTGAGCTAACCTGGGTTTACTAGTTGGAGCTGCAGGATGACAATGGGAATCATTTGCATTGGAAAAGAAAACAGGATCCATTTTTCCCACCACTCTTATCTTCCCAGGCTATAGCCCCTCCTTGATATTTAGTTTCCTGACATTTAGGTCGTTTTGGATCAAGTTTTATCACTTCCATCAATTAAATTCAGACCTAGCACTTTTCACCGTCCCGGACACACAAAGGGTTGCGGAATTTGTGAAGAGACTGTGTCTCTTTTTCTCCGAACCTAGAAGGAATCACTGGGAAGCACTTCCGGTAGCGTAGACAAAGAGTTAGCGTGTCTACGACCGCACTTCCGCAAAATGACACTTTCGCTTTAAGAGCTTGGGTCCGCCCGCCGTAGTCCCGTGACTTTGAATCCAGGGCTGCGCATGCGTCCCGTGCGCAGGAGGAGGGGCGGGGCATTGCATAGGGCGGGCCGGGACCCTGACTTGTCTCGCGGTTACTGGGCCGGCGTGAGCGCGCGAGGTTCGGGGGCGGCGCGGGGCGGAGCCTATTCCGAGTGGACGCCTCGGGTTTCGGCGCAACCGCGGAGCGTTTGAGGGGCTAAGGTCGTCTCAGGTGAGGAGGTCGCGCCCGAAGCGGTGCCCAGGTGTTGTAAAGAGCAGCGGAGTTGTTGTCGGGGTGCGGTGGCACCTCACCGCTCGCTCTGCCTTCTCTGCAGCCGCCATGGCGAAAGGCAGCGTTACAGAACGACCGCAGACGGGGCCATCGCACATGACCCCGGCCAGGGACCGGGCAGCGGGGACCAGGGCTCCCGCGGCTACGAGGAGTGAAGACCACTTGAAAGGTGAGCGGCCTCGGGGACCAGCGCTGGGCTAGTCCTAGAGGAGAGGTACGAGAATTCCAGGAGGGGCTGTGGGGGGACAAGGACCCTACACGGACCGTCCTGGGCTTGGCAGGGAGAGAATGGACCGGCCCATCACAAGGTGCGTAGTAAATGCTGAATGTCAGTGGTTGGTTTGTTGACACTCTAGGAAATTAATAAGCTGATATTATTAAAGCAATGCCGAGCTGGGAGGAACTTAATCATTCATTGCTTTGTTTTTACAGGTGAGGTAACTGAGGGCCGAGGTTGGTATGTGACTGCACACAGTCGCAAAGCCAGTTTATAAAGTAGTTGTGAAGAACAAGGACTTTGGTGGCAGGCACACCTGGGTGTGAGTCCCTGCCCTACTAAAGTTGTGACCTTCGACTTATTAACTTTGAAAAACTCAGTGTCAGAACTGTAAAATGGCGATAATAGTATCCACATATAGATTGGTGCCTGGGTTCAACAAAATAATACAAAATATTTAACCTAATTCTTGGGTTATTTTAAGCTGGGGCTAAGTAAGTGTTAGCAGTTACTATTATTAAGATCTCTTATTGTAAAGCTGTTGTCGGCACATCATCTTGGCATTTCTCAGGCGTTTAAAAAAATGATTTTTTTTCTGCAGGAAAAGCATACTAGAAACTAAATATCTTCATTACATCTTATGCTCAATTCTTCTCAACAGTTAAGATGATTAAATTGTTTAAGTTCTTTTAAGTGATCTTAAGTTTTATGTATTTGGATCTTTTCCCATCTTATGTATAGACTATAGGGCCATGTAACTTCAAAAGACTGTAAGTGAATTAATGTCAAAGTATAAATCCACTCCCAGTTAAAGGAATATTCTTTTAAAGATGCTACTACTGACAACAGTCTAAAGATCTGGGTTCCTTGAAAGTGTTGTCCATCTAGATTCTAGATCATCCTTGATTGTCATTTGATTTGAGATAAGTTGTTATTGTCGCTTTTTCCTGTAGCTATTCAAAAAACAAAATCTTGAAACATTCCAAAATGCTTTTATAATTGTTTTTCTCATCATTTGAAAAACTCATTCAACATAGTAATTCTGTTTATGATGTTAGCATGTCTTCTTGCAGACTGTACTTCTGTAGAAAGACTGAAGGAAGAGATTGATGTGAACTTCATGGTGAAATAAAGTGTGGATAAGCAAAGAGAAGGGAAGGAGATTAATGGAAAGGGGAAACAGTAGGATTGAAGGTTAGTGTAAGCACTTTGATGTGCACTGAAGAGATTAACTTGCCTTGAGTGGAGAATTTCTGTTGGGTGGATGCTGGAGCTAGGTTGGCCAGGTTTGGCTGATGGGTGTTAAGTGCTAGCTCAAAGAAGTTTTGATCCATCCTTTTTATTAAGAATCCTCCCCCAATAAAATGATTTTAAAAAAAAAGAATCTCAGGTTTTCTTTTTCTATTGTTTCTGTATGTGTGTATCTCTCTTTAATTAATGCTAGGAATACTCTTATGTGCAGATGACTTTATTTACCCCTTACATGAGATGATTTGGGCCACATGTAAGACAAGCCCCTCTCAGGGGCACACTGGCTATACTTCTTTCAAGATTCCAACACTTATCGATTTGCCCTTTTTTTGCAATCTGTGATACTTTCATTATTCTTCAGTACCACAATGCAAAGACATCAATTCTTCTATGGTCTTCCTTACTCACTGTCCAACTTTCACATGCATACGAGGCAATTGAAAATACCATGGTTTGGTGCCAGGCGCTCCTTGATATTAACTATTGAAAACCAGACAACCCAAACCCTTTACCATGGAGTTGAAAGGTTTTGGAGAAGAGATAGCACTCTATTAGTTCCATGTGATTGAACTACTGAATTATTTGTGTGAATTAAAACCAAGAAAACCAAACTCACTGCCATCAAGTTGATGCTGACTCATAGCAACCTGACAGGACAGGGTGGAATTGCCCCGTGAGTTTCTGAGACTTTACAGGAGTAGAAAGCTCCCTCTGTCTCCTGAGGAGAGGCTGATGGTATCAAACTGCTAACCTTGAAGATTGCAGCTGAACATGTGGCAAATCATATGTCAATAAAACTTAAAGGGGGAAAAAAACTAGTAGTAATTGGATGAGAAATACATAGTAAGGTCCTGCAAATTTCCTGGCACTTCAGATTTACATTTCATTAACTGTCACATCTACATCCCTTTTATTTATACAAGTTTTAAATTTAATTTAATCATTTTATTGGGAATTTGTATGAGTTTTTGTCATGGTGTGTATATTTGGAATATGTTATATTCTACATGTAGTGCTTGGTATATTTAGTGTACTTACTGACAGTCTTTTATGATCTGAGCCTCATAGGCTGAGGACCACTTTGAAGATTTGCAAGCAAGACATTATCACAGTGCAACTCTAATGATTATAAGGAAGGGTAAAAGGTAGGCAAGAGGTAGAATGAGTCACTGGGCTCTTGTTCTAATCTATTTTTAAGGGTGCCTAGTGGAAGGAGCTCTCAAGTGGTCTGGCTCTTGGCTGCTAACCAAAAAAGTTGGTGGTTTGGACCCACCGACCGACTACTTCACAAGGGAAAGGTGGGAGCGTGCTGAAGTGAAGATTACAGCCATGGGTCAGTACTACCCAGTCCTTTAGTGTCCCTTGAGTCTCAGTCATCTGGAAGACAAGAAGTTTTGTTTTTTTCAAACTTCCCTTGTGTTATCTGCCCTGGTTGAGTTAGTTACTTGCAAGACACAGCAGTTCCCTTTTTTAATTGAAAGGACCTTCTCTGTTTTCATTATGTAGGTCATTCCTATGTGAAAGTTGTGGAGTCAATTTGGTGGGTAATGAACATTTTTCAAAAAGTAGAAAATATCAGTGCTTTGCTTGTAGTGAGAGGTAGATATTATTTCTTAAAATTTTTTTTTTAGTAATACAGACTTTTTGTGTATCAGGACATGATGTTGGAAATATAATTTCTTATTGTGGAATGCAATTTTTAAAATATTGAAACTATTATCTAGGAGTGGGGTTTTATTGCTTTTAGGACAAGCTTTGAAGATAAATCTCTCTCAGATCTCTGTTTTTGATCTTGCTTTGATTCAACAAATTGAGCCTCTTCTATGAACAAGGTGGCTTACAGCAGTGATTCTCAACCTTCCTAATGTCACAACCCTTTAATACAGTTCCTTGTATTGTGGTGACCTCCCCCCCAAATAAAATTATTTTCATTGCTACTTTATAACTAATTTTGCTACTCTTAAGAATCAAACGATCCCTGTGAAAGGGTCATTCGACCCCCAAAGGGGTTGCGACCCACAGCTGGCTTAGAGGAAGGAAGCTCTAGAGGTTACTGATAAACTGGGATTTAAGACTAGAATTAGTAACTGGACATTAATCAAGGTATTAGTATGGTTTCCTGATACCAGTTTCAGCTCACATACAGTAAAGCCTGTGTAAACGAAATCCCATGTGAAGAGAAAACTTGTCGGAGTAGGAAAGTCTTAAAAAAAAAAGTGTAAGATTGTCCCCTGTCAAACTTGTAAGTCCCAGGAAAGCAAGGCAATCCTGTTGAATTTTGTCTCTCAGAGGTTTCATATTCTGTGTCATGATTTGTGGTTATAATTTCCAGAAAATTCAATTGAAAAGCTTTCCAAGAGGGAGGTTAGGTAACTAAGGAGAGTAAGTAGAAAATATCCCTCAGGTTGTACCACATATCTCAGTGATGGCATCTAGAGTCAGGTTGTCATCATCGTATCCTGAATTGCTTATTCAATGTTAGCCTTTTTCTTACAGGCAGGTTTCTTTTAAATGCCCAAGGTAACTTAGATGCTTCTTTGTTAATTTTGAGAATCTTCTTTTTTCTAGCATTCCCAATAAAAGTGTTGATATTTACCCTAATAGACTGACTCAGATAAAATGTTTATCCCTAAAACAGTTACTGTTACTGGAAGGTAAGAGTAACCTTGCTATGTGTGATTTGTGTTCCAAATGAGACTAAATTACTTTTCTAAAATGACACAGATCTCTATGATGTTATCTCTATTTGGGCCCAACCACCTTGGTATAGAATGAGAAGTGAGCTTGTAGGACTGATTTTAGGTTAGATAGATATAAGTAAAAAGTAAGAATTTTAAGCAAAGACATTATATCGTAATGGGTCATGGAGTCCAGGTTGGGCGCAGAAGAAAGAGTGTGAGAAGTCCACCCCAAAAGCCAAACCCATTGCCATTAAGACATTCCCTGAGGATAGTGACCGGCCAGAGTAGCGCAGAGTAGCGCTGCCTCCTGAGGTCTCTGGGGCTATAAATCTGTACAAATGTGCAAAGTCTCATCTTTCTCCTGTTGAAGTGGCTAGCTGATTCAAACTACTGACCTTGCATTTAGCAGTCCAAAACATAACCCACTATGCCACCAGAGCTCCCATGAGAAGCCCAATTGAAGGGAGAAAATGCAAGGAGTGAGGTCATGTAAGAATATATATGATCAAAGAATGGAATATTGAGACTTAAAGTGCCCAACATGGAGCAATCCCAAATGATAGATGTGAGGATATATGGTATGTAACCCTGGAAGTGAGTAGCTGAAATTGAATGGAAATGAAATCTTAAGAATTTGAGCTTGGATTGGTCCTCTAAGTGAATGTAAATTTTTTTAGGATTGTGGAGAAGTTTTACTCCAAGCTTGAAGGAACCTTCGTGGTGCAGTGGTTAAACACTCAGCTGCGAACCATAAATAAAAGTCATCATATGGTGATCTTCCATAAAGATAATAGCCTAGAAAAATCCCATAGGGCAGTTCTACCCAGCCCTATATGGTTGTCGTTGGTTTGAATGCACACAACTATGAGCTTTGGTCTCAGCATCTTCAGTGGAGGGTGGGAAATGGAGTTCCTGAGAGAGGATACAGCATACCTAGGAAAACCTAGGAGTATGCCTATATCCTCTCTCAGGAACTCCATCTACTGCAGGTTTGGTTCCAGACTACAGCAATAAAGCAACATATAAAAGTTGTGTTCATTCTATACTGTGGTCTATTAAGTGTGCAATAAATAGCATTATGAAAAAGTTTGAAATACTGTGAGAATTACCAAAATGTGATACAGATGAAGTTGTGAGCACCTGCTGTTGGAAAAGTAATGCAGTTCGGCTTGTTAGACTCAGGGTTACTGCAAACTTTCAATTGGTCAAAACAATTATCTGTGAAATGTAATAAAGCAAAAGTGCAGGAAAATAAAGCAAAGTATGCCTGTAGGTATAGTGAATGAAGATAGGTGGATTAATGATAGCAAAGTTGCATGGCATAGGTCATAGACAATGAGCTTTTTAAGCAAGATTGGGAGTATTGTTTCTTCTTTCTATAAATAAGCTTTTAGTAATACTACTATTTTTCAATATTTAGAAAAACGATTAACTTTGTATTTTATACTTATTTTTGCTTTATATATATGTTGTTTTTGTCAGATGCCATCGAGTTGGTTCCAACTCATAGTGATCCTATATTCAACAGAGCAAAACACTACTCGCTCCTGCATTGTCCTCACAGCTGCCGTGTTTGAAGCCATGTTGTAACCATGTTGACAACCATGTTGTCAATTCATCTCATTCAGGGCTTTCCTCTTTTTCATTGCCCCTCTGCTTTACCAAGCATGATACCATGCCCGTGCCCTTCTCCAGAGACTGGTCACTCTTGACAACGTCATCATGTTCATTCATACTCTCTCTCTCTATGTGTGTGTGCATGCACGCACAAGCACACACACGCACATGCATACACACTTGATTATATTACTATCATTTTCAATTATAATATATATATATTTTAAACATTTTATTAGGGGCTCATACAACTGTTATTGCAATCCATACACACATCAATTGTGTAAAGCGCATTTGTACATCACTCTCAAAACATTTTCTCTCCATTTAAACCCCCACATTAGGTCCTAATTTTTCCCCTCTCTCCCCGCTCCCCCCTCCCTCATGAGCCCTTGATAGTTTATAAATTGTTATTTTGTCATATCTTGCCCTGTCCGATGTCTCCCTTCACCCACTTTTCAGTTGTCCATCCCCAAGGGAGGAAGTCACATATAGTTCCTTGTAATCGGTTCTCTCTTTTCCTACCCATTTTCCCTTTACCCTCCTTGTTTTGCCACTCACACCACTGGTCCTGTAGGGCTCATCCGCCCTGGGTTCCCTGTATTTTCAGTTCCTATCTGTACCAATTATAATATTTTTAACAAGTCCTGGTGGCATAATGAGTTGTGTTGGGCTGCTAACTGGTAGGTCAGCAGTTCAAAAACACTAGCCGCTCTGTAGGAGAAAGGTGAAGCTCTCTACTCCATAACTTTTTAGAGTCTTGGAAACCCATAATAGTTCTAGTCTGTCCAATAAGGTGGACTCGATGGCAGTGAGTTTGTTTTTTAAATAATATTTAAAAGTTTTAAAGCTCTTTAAATAAGGGGAACTTCAGTATTATAGTAGCTTCTTATGACCTTAAAACTTAGAGTCTGTAAGTTTATGACCTCAGGAGACTTAAAAAAAAAGCAACACTTTGTGTGTGTGTGAGAAACATTTTTGTGGTAGAACCAACTAGGTTTAGAAAACACCTAATGTTGAGGACTAATAGACTTCATGGCCATTAATAGTCATTTCTAGGATCTTGTAGGTATAGGAAAACAATTGTTTTGATTCCTAAAGATGTAAGAGAAATAGGGACTTAATCCAGGAACAATCAGGTTAAGTTACAGTTTAGAGCAAAGGTGCTTGCAGCAGGAAGAATTGAAGATATTGGGTATATAGACGAGATAATTCTGAGAACAAGATCTAGAAGGAGATGTGTTGCCATTTAATACAATGACAAGAGGAAAGCGCAAGAGAAAACAATTTCCCAAACAGATCTTGAAGCGAAGATTGGGAGCTCACTGACTGGAATGGAAGCCACTGGCATTGGTTGAGTGTAGGAGAAGATCTCAAAACAATAAAAACTCATGGCTGTCCAGTCAATTCTGACTCATAGTGACCCTACAGGATGGGGTAGAATTTCCAAGGCTAGAAGCTTCATCTTTTTCCTGTGGAGTGACTGTTGGTTTAGGACTTACAGAATGCCTCATCCACCGGCATGGCATCCCCCATAGCATTGCTTCAGATCAAGGAACTCACTTCACAGCAAATGCAGTGCGGCGATG